AAAGCACGAGGGAATCATATCTGGGCCATAATTGTATGATTGTTCTAACATATTTAACTGATATAAGACGTCTGCTTCGGAAATAGTAGGTGCATTAATGACAGAAATCGGACATAACTTGTGCTGATGCGGAACATTTTTTGGAGATTTTGGAGAGTAATTGGACTTGAAGAATTCAGCGAACATATTGGAAATGGAGTGATTGTCACTAGACATACTAGACTTATATTTCATAGCAGACGGAAAATTAGAAATTATGCGTTTGGAGTTTACAAAACCATAGAACAATTTTGGGTTACATATAATATTATTTTTTACTTTATTTATATAATTATTATAACATATTTTTTTAGTTTCAGCAAATTGTCGACGCAATTTAGAATGCTTTTAATAGTAAGCAACTAAACCAGTTTTTTTTTAAATTTTAAAAGCACGAGATTTTCTATTATTTAATTTACATAATTCTTTCGAAAACCATAAATTAGAACTAATTTTTTGAGTAACAACGCACTTCGGAACATATTTTTCAAATAAGCTTAAAATAGTTTCATTAAAGTGGGAAGCACTAAATTCAATATTGCCACTGTAATCTAGCCAAGTTACTTTAGTAAGTTCGTAATTAAGCTTCTTAAAATTAGCTTTCGCAAAGTTGAACCGAAAACAAAGGGCTTGTGTATTATTATGAGGAAAGTTAGTTATGATTTCGATGTCAATTTTCAAAGCAGAATGATACGGGTCCTCTGGCCGAACCAAAGGATCACATCGGACAACGGAGAACATTGAAGCGTTATCAACATAAACTAGATCTAAGAACTTATCTAATTCGTTTGAAATTAAATTAATTTGGATAAAACACAACCCCGACATTTCATCTAAGAACTCGTTAAAACATAAGCGAGTACTAATAGGAATGGTGTGGTCATCAATAGATTTCCATGATACGCACGGTAAATTGGAATCCCCCAAAACAATCATGTAATCAGTATTACTAGCCATTGAGAAAACATTATGTATTAGTGAAGCATGCTGAATATAAACAGATATATCCGAGTTAGGCGGCCACTATTCGCGCAAATACGAATGCATTTAAATTCTATGAAGTCTGCATGCGGAACATCGACTTTTGTTATTCTTGTTTTGAATCTCTACATGTTGTTCTTAGTTACGAATGCGAGAATTTCGCTTCTTTACCCATTGAGCCCCAAGTTGGTCTCATCGGTGAACAAAATTTGGCTCGAAAATGTCGAATCTTGGAACTTTTCAAGAGCCCATAGTAACCAATTCCTTTTTGACAATGTTTGATCTTACAAATCAAACATTTCTGGTCCTTCGAGCCGGATATGAACCAGCGACCTATGGATTCTTGAATAGGGAGAATCTAAGACTAAAATCAAATGATTCTGACTTGTATTTATTAAAATTTCGGCTTTGAAGATAAGTGAACATGTTCAGTAATATTTGAACACATAGTGCGAAGCCAAATTATATTTCGCACGTTTTCAATTTAATATATCGACATAAAATGCGCCAAGTCGTCCCATTCGTCAGTCCGAGTTGCTGCGAACGGTGCCGAATCCATCCGCCACGGTCTTCATGTACACTCACAGCTACGGCTGCTATATTTTCTTCACTACGTGTTGGACGTATTCTGTTTCGTCGAATATTATCTAATAATGAAAGCTGGGTCTCAAAATAGGTGATGGTGTTGAGAATAGTACGCTCAGCAGACCGATTATGTTGTGTCTTTCCTTGATGAAACAATACTGAATAAAAATTACAGTTTTACAAAACTCTCGCGTGAACTGTCAAAAAAGGCTATTAACAAAAACTTTTGGAACACTCGTTATATACGTTTAAATTTCCATATTTGCACATTTCTAAGCAACACAAAAACGTTCTGCGCGAAATAATTTTTGTGATATTGCAGCAGTGTATCAGCTGAACATCAGCAAGAGAATTAGTAACCTGGTTGCAGTAGATATACACTCTGATAGTCAGACCAATGTGACCAAACTATTCTGAAAATTCTGTAGAATTTAGAGATGAAATTTTGAGTTCCTTCTATAATAAGAGTTATTAGGTTTCCATAATAAAAACAATTGTCTGCGGTAGGTTGACGATGTTGTAAAGTTCAATTTGGTATTATGTTGTGGAATGACATATGTAGTCGCGAAATTATAGATACATAATAAATAATATTTAACGAACGTACAAATTACTTCAAACCCAATTAATAATCAGCCTTGCTGTTGTTAACTCGGCTATAATCGCGTAAGCGGTATCTACGCCAATTAAGAAGAAGAACTCCGTTACTAAATCCAAACATAACTCTCAAAATTTTAGGGAGTTTGTGGGATTTTCGTTGGCAACATTGTTAATAATTGACAGCTGTATTCTATACTTTATTTTATTTATTTTAGTATAACTGTAAATAAATTTACAGACATACTAGAAAAAAAAGGAACTGGCTGCTTAGGCCTTCGTCCCAGTTTGTATAAATACATTAATTTATTTATATGAACATTTCAAAACGACGATATCCCATTGTATATATGAGAATAACATAAGTCTTAGTGAAAAAGTGGATTGAGAAAAAAACATGCCTCCTAAAACTAGTGGAAAAGCAGCAAAGAAGGCTGGTAAGGCCACATATTGTGATTGAAAAATAAGAACAAAAGTAAACAAAGTTATTTTGAAAAGCGGCGATTATAGATAAAAAGTAAGTAATTTTGGTATTTTGCATTGCCTTCTAAACGAAAATTATTATCTTTGTTTTAGTTTCAGCTGGATGGCAGAAATCGTTCAGGGTAGATTTTAAAGGATGAGTTAGAGCTGCTGGAAAAGTGGGAGGAACGTTCCCACGACTTCCGGCGTGCAAAGCGAAATGCTCATATATACAATGGGAGCGAATGCTCATATATACAATGGGATATCGCAGGAAATGACACAAAGATACACCGCCGAGGAAACATGACAAAGAAATACACGTGAGTTTTTTCAATAATTACATTTCTTCTTTTAACACATTAATAACTGGATAAAACCAAAATTGGCCCTTTTGGTGGTAGTCCCTCGCCTTGGAGACATTATAATGCTATGCATCGGATAGTAGGATGTACTACCGTTAATTCTACTTTGTACATAGAGACATATTCCGAGGTAAAAAACTAATTCAACATTAACCCAATTGCTGCCGCCGTCCGACCCATCATTATTACCTCCGTTGCCATCGCCATCATGTCCGCTGCCATCACAATCATGTCCGATGCCATCATCATCACCTTCATCTGCAACAAGAAAAAGTAATTTTAGCGCCGAGTTGTTAAAGGTTTTAAATAAACAAACTGACATATTGGAAAAGGTTGCGGATGCAACAAAGCACGTTTCAGAGAAAATAATTCAGACAGTTCGACAGCACAATATTTTATCCGAAAGATTTTTAACCCTTATGGAGAAAATCGAAGAGAAACTTCAATTTTAAAATAATTTTATCGTTTTTTTTCTAGTTTGAAATATTTTGTTATCTCAAAACAAAAAAAAAGATGTAACGTTTTTTCTAGTCTTAAATCATTATTTAATGAAATGTTTTGTTATTTTCTAGTCTTAAAACATTATATAATGAAAAAAACATTTATTTAAATAAAAAATGATCTCTTTAAAAAATGAATGTTTGTAATTATGTGTACTAATATTTGTTTTCTGCTACTCTATACATCTAGGAATTTCATCATTTTATATACAATATATTAAACTTACAAATTTCCAGGCGCTTCTTTCCCTTATTTCTGAAGACGCCACTTTTGTACTAGTTTCCGGTATCGCTTTTGTCCATTCATTCATCAATTTAATCTTTTGAAGTAGTGGTAGTAATGTATTTATACTTTTGTTTAACAAATTGTGGTTTTGCACCATCTATGCGGCCAACAATTGCAATGCTTGTCTTCTATCCATTTTTTGTTTTATCAAATTGAAAATGTTATAAATATGCCAATCAGCTGTTCGCTAACTCGCATCGCTGGTGCCTGCCACCTATAAATTTGGATATGATTAAGTGCGCAGTTAATCAGGGTTAACGCTGTCGTCTGTCAAGGCTATAAGGCTCTGAAGAAATATAGTAACAATTTTTAATAAATTTTTTCAATAAAATGCGAATATGGTAACACGAAGAAGAAACATGGAATCAACAATTCATTCGACTTCAGCGTTCAAGGTGTACGGACGTGTTTTGTAATTCGCTCCGTGTATTCATATTATATTTTGCAAAAGTTAACAATCAACAATAATAATATAAAAACAAACAATCGAATAAAAATCAGTGCACACAAATTGTTATTAATAATATATAAACAAATAGTGCACAAAACAAATAGATAAGAAACAAAATAAAAATGATAATAATAATAATGAGTGCTTTGCAGSCTCACCAGCAAGGCCGTAGGCATTCCTTAAATGCCTACTTCAGATTTGTCGAGTCAGCTGAAATGCAGGTACATTGATCGCTACATTAATGTAAAAAGGAAATCGAGTCCTATTAAATCAGCGGTCAATACCAAAAAATTTCAACCAGGCACGCTAAATGGTAGAAACTCAGAAATTCTTGATAGCAACAGATTTGCCTTACTGAGCAAAGAGCCTACCGATGATGCAAATTGTACTACCACAGTCGTGAATGCCAAACCCTCTCCAATCTATTTGCGTGGGCGTAGCTCAGATACGTTTGCTTCCAATATAAGAAATATTATATGCGCAAACAATTTTCACATTGTGCCTTTGAAAAAATTTAACATAGATGAAACAAAAATTCAAACATGCACTGAAAAAGTTTCATGGATGTTGTAAAATTCCTATCAAATAATAACAAGAATTACTACTCTTACCAACTGAAGAGCTCTAAAGACCTAGTTGTTGTTATAAATGAGATAGAGTATTCGGTAGATCCTAACGACGTTAAAGAAGCATTGAAAGAATGTAGTTTTACTATTAAATCTGCAGTAAAAAATTTTAACATAAATACAGTCCCACAACCAATGTTTAAAATATTAATACCAAATTCTAATCAACCACAGGAAAACGAAACACATCCGATTTACAATCTAAAATATCTGCTCCATCGTAAAATATCAGTTGAGGAACAACATAACAGAAATGGTCCAGTACTATGCGCAAACTTTCAAGAGTATATACAAACGAAATCATACTGCACTCTACGCAATGAGTGGGTTGTGTGTGGTTATTTACATCCCACATCCAAATGTGCTCTTAAAAAAGATGATTTAAATTAAAAAAGTGTAGCAATTGTGGAGGAAATCATACTGCAAACTATAAAGGTTGCCCTGTATATAAAGCCTCAAAATTGAAACTGTCTGTCGGAATTCAAGCACGTCGCAACTAAATGTTAAACATTATTCCAAATGAAAAAATTTAAATCCCCGTCCATATTTCAAAACCAGTAAATCTTAAAGAAAATGCTATATAAGGGAGCTATTCAAACGTGGTGAAAGGCAACGTTGCACAAATGCAATTGCCCCAAAATCAACCAAATGGAATGGAAGCACAGAACCAAATATTGTAAAATTTTTTAAGTAAAAAATGAAATGCTAACGGTGTTAACCAACATAAATTTCAACTTACTAGATTTCTGGTTGAAAATTATATTCGAGCTGCAGAACTTAATAGAGAAGGTACCATCTTCTATAAGAGTGTACAGCTGCTGGCGTATGCCGATGATATTGATATCATTGGCCTCAACACCCGCGCCGTTAGTTC